GTGTTAGTAGGAATGCCTGATTGCTCTTCGGAAGCTCYTTCTCTAAACTTGTGGAATCGCCCTCGTTTGATGTAGTTACTATTCCTTCTTTAAGCCATGAAGTGAGTTTTGTCAATTCTGTCACGGCACGTGGCAGTAAAAATTGGCTACTGACAAACASMATCTACTCAARTTGTTCAGAAACTGTAAAAAAWATATAATAGTTTCTTTTTCAYAGTAATTAAAAGCCCTAATATGTCACTTTTTAGGATTTGCAGCAGATGTTTTTAAAATTACTATTCCTCTTCTCTCCTAAGTATCCTAAAATGAAAAAGATTTGAGTACAAATGCAAATCTTTGTAAATTTTCCGTTTTTTTACTACTATCAAATAAGAACTTCTCATAAAAAGTACCAGCTATTTACCACTCCCTTTCTAAGGACTCATTCTGGGCTCCTGACCTCTCCAGGGAATGGAGAGCAACTACTCAAAGAAGTGATTCTATCAAAGACAACAATCTTGTTCCTGCAAGAGTGTTATCACTCAGCTGAGTGAAGAGTGCAAAGATCTTGCACTGAGTGCATTCCTTTCTTTTTCTTCTTCTTTAWTTATTTTCCTCTGGCTGCAGATGTTTTGCAGCCCTGCAGATGGCAATCTTGCAGCAGGCACATGGTTGGAGTGAGAGTGTTGTGCCTGTCTTGGCTGGGGAATGTCTTGGTGACTGGGATGGGATGAAGAGCAAAATCTCCCTTCCTCTTTGTATTCATTGAAGCAATTGCTATGCAAGAGGACTGCTTTTCTTGTCTTTTTTTTTTTTTTTTTTTTCCCCTCCAGATATTTCTGCTGGCGCTATCATTTGCATATGTTGGCAAAACCATGTCGGGTGCTTACATGAACAGCATGTACACACAGATAGAGAAGCAGTTTAATATTCCAGCTTCTTTAGTGGGGATCATTAATGGAAGTTTTGAAATCGGTAATCACTCGTTTTTCTATTTTTTATTCCTTCAAAAAATAGTATGTTGCCTGAGCATGTGTTAATGACTCTGCTGTCCATCTGTCATTGGTTGTATGAGAGAGAACAGTGAGCAACACTGTGCCACCCTCTGAACTGCTACTGTATTTAGTGCCTTGGAAAGCAATGGGAAAACTTTMCTCGAAGAAGGAACAATTAGAAACTGGTTCAGCTAATTTATGTGCTATCTTAGAATAACTTGTATTAAATTTAAGGTCAATTTACCAGTTTTATGGTTCTTTTCGTCAATGATCTCCAAGTTGATTGAAGCGGCTTGTTTCCTGAATCAAACCCAAAAGGATTTTATGTTTCATATTTGTATAACTGTAAGAAACTTCTAGTTCCAATGACAGTGACACCCTAGGAGTGACCCTAGGAGTGACCTTTATTGCGAAATGACAGGCTCAGCTTTTAACATTGCCACCAAAGCCAACAAAAAGTCTTGGTAGCTTCAAAAAACATCTGTGTAGAGCTCACCAGAGGATGCACCCTGTAGGTCTCAGACTGGATCCTCTGGTACCTCTGGCTCAGCGGAGAAAACGTTCAACACACACTCATATGCACTGACAGGGAGAGGAATCAAGACTCTGCTCATACTTTTTCCTGGTCTCTGCTAACTATATGTGCAAAGAGAAGAGACTGTTCTCCACTCTTTGACCCTCTGTCCACTGTCTGTGAATACTGGTATTCCCCAGTGGAATTCCCAATAGTGGGAACTCTTTTTCTATATGTAGGTGCAGTCAAAACCTCTTCTTTCACTATGATATCCCTCTTCTTTCACTATGATATGTTTATTCCTACCTAGTGTAACTCTTCCAGAAAAACAGACAATTCATTCTTTTTGCAGGCAACTTGCTGCTGATAGCATTTGTGAGTTACTTTGGAGCAAAGCTTCATAGACCAAGAATAATTGCCTTGGGCTGCACAGTTTTGTCATTTGGCTGTCTTTTAATATCACTTCCACATTTCCTAATGGGACAGTGAGTATTTTGCTTAGCTCACAAGAGCTTCTGTGACTCTTATCTGCCTAAATTGAGAACTTCTCCCACTGAAGCGAGTTTCCTTATTGAGAAAAGTATGGGATATGGAATAATTTTAGAGTATCTCCTTTCATTTTGCTTCTGAGAGGGCTTCGAAAGTCAGTAATCACTTCCTGAGGAGAGTCACTCCTCTGCTGGGCAGCTGGCGTCCTCTGCCCTTTCGTTTCCTTGTTTTTGAGAAAAGAAGATATTTCAGGATTTTAATCTTGTTTTGGGTTAAAATACATGAAGAAGAGGAGAGAAGATAATATGTGGTCTTCTTTAGTGTGTTTCATCATATTTCAAAGTATCTGTTGCAAAGATATGCTAGAGACAAGATGCTAATTTGTATATAACACCGCCTTAATTTCTTCTCCTTATTTTTTTGGTCCTATCTTGCTTCATTACTAAGGCACAGTTTACGTTTTGCTGTAGCTACGTAGTCTGCTTCTAGATAGCTTCATTACTGAAGGACAGATTTATAAGGTCGATCTAACATATTCTTAATTCATAAATCCTGTATTTTGATTTGAACAGGTACCATATTGAAAGTAGCATTTCACCATCTGAGAATTCTTCAGTTATGCCTTTGNATTGAAGCGGCTTGTTTCCTGAATCAAACCCAAAAGGATTTTATGTTTCATATTTGTATAACTGTAAGAAACTTCTAGTTCCAATGACAGTGACATCCTATGAGTGACCCTAGGAGTGACCTTTATTGCGAAATGACAGGCTCACCTTTTAACATGGCCACCAAAGCCAACAAAAAGTCTTGATAGCTTCAAAATACATCTGTGTGGAGCTTACCAGAGGATGCATTTACCAGACTGGATCCTCTGGTACCTCTGGTTCAGCGGAGAAAACAGTCAACACAGACAGGGAGAGGAATCTAGACCCTACTCATAATTTTTTCTGGTCTCTGCTAACTATATGTGCAAAGAGAAGAGGCGGCTCTCCTCTCTGTGCCACTCCGTCCACTGTCTGCCAAGCAGTCTGATAAGGCCAATCAAAGTATATATATATATATATGTATACATATATATAACAAAAACTCAAAAACAAACAAACAAACAAGCCCAAACTGAAATTGCTAATTGGTAATGTGGTATGTTTAAAGATAATTATCTTAAATAATTTTTCCTCTCGTATGACTTCTTTTAAAGAACATATTGTAGCATTCCTATCTCCATCTAACTGTGAACTGTAAATCTTAATTACATTAAGATTTAAATGATTAAGAAACGGTGAATATGCCAGGCATAATGAATTTATTAGAAGTATACAAGTGTACATCTTTTAGTGCTATTCAAGCTGCTCATTCAATTCAGTCTTTATAGCCATTATGTAAACTTCATTCAAAGCATGATGCTTGTAAGTTGGAGTCATATTTCTGTCAAAAGAAAAAAAAATAGAGTGTTAACAATTGTTATTTTTATGGGACCTGATTCATAAAAGGAGGTTTAATAAGAATTAAACCTCCTTTTATGAATCAGGTCCCATAAAAATAGCTGCTTCAGCAGTAAATGAGTATAGCAAATGATCTGATTTGGGGATTTCAATTTTTTAAAGATAATTTATACTTTTAAATGACACTAAGGACAAAAATATTTTTTAAAATAATCCTATTAAATGCTTTTTGAAAATAATATCAGTTTATTATTCCTCTTTTCTCTATGTAAGCTTATAAACTTCTGTATTTCCCACACATTAAAAATAGGAGAATAATTTCCTGAAGAAGTAAAATTTAAATATTTGAATCTAAATATTTAAATATAAAAATATTTAAATTTAATTCTAAATATAAATCTATTAATCTATTTAAATCAAAAATCTAATGGTGGGGATTCTTTTTCTATATGTAGGTGCAGTCAAAATCTTCTCTGTCACTATGATAGCCCTTCTATTTTAGGTTTTGTTCTCATGTTTATTCCTGCCTAGTGTAACTCCTCCAGAAAAACAGACAATAGATACAGGAGAGAACTGTTGCATCTTTAGCAAATTCCCTGTCTAGATAAAGTACTCCCAAAACTGGGGAAATAATAGATCTAGCAAGGTATACCCAAAATGCCTTAGTTTGTAAATAATGAAATTCATTCTTTTTTCAGGCAACTTGCTGCTGATAGCATTTGTGAGTTACTTTGGAGCAAAGCTTCATAGACCAAGAATAATTGCCTTGGGCTGCACAGTTCTGTCATTTGGCTGTCTTTTAATATCACTTCCACATTTCCTAATGGGACAGTGAGTATTTTGCTTAGCTCACAAGAGCTTCTGTGACTCTTACCTGCCTTAATCGAGAACTTCTCCCACTGAAGCGAGTTTCCTTATTGAGAAAAGTATGGGATATGGAATAATTTTAGAGTATCTCCTTTCATTTTGTTTCTGAGAGGGCTTCAAAAGTCAGTAATCACTTCCTGAGGAGAGTCACTCCTCTGCTGGGCGGCTGGCATCCCCTGCCCTTTTGTTTCCTTGGTTTTGAGAAAAGAAGATATTTCAGGATTTTAATCTTGTTTGGCCCAATGTGGTATGTTTCTGACACCTCAGTGGCATCGTCCACTCAGAGTGTAATTGGGTTAAAATACATGAAGAAGAGGAGAGAAGATAATATGTGGTCTTCTTTAGTGTGTTTCACCATCTTTTCAAGCATCTGTTACAAGGTTATGTTAGAGACAAGATGCAAGTTTGGATATAACACTGCCTTCATTTCTTCTCCTAATTTCTTCTCCTACCTTGCTTTATTACTAAGGCTCAGTTGACTTTTTTTTCTGTAGCTACATAGTCTCCTTCTAGATAGCTTCATTACTGAATCTAATATATCATAGATCATTACTGGATCTAATATATTCTTAATTCATAAATCCTGTATTTTGATTTGAACAGGTACCATATTGAAAGTAGCATTTCACCATCTGAGAATTCTTCAGTTATGCCTTTGNTTAGACTGAACTCTATGGAGTCCCTTAATAGAAAGTGGAAGGAGACTACAGAGAACTTTCAGAGCGTGTCCCTTGCTATAGAGATGTTCATGCTCTTTGCTGTAGGTCAGAGCAGATTATCTCATGGATGTCCCTATTGACTGTTGGAAACTTAGATGATCAGTGACTGACAAAAATTAGGTGAGATGAATCCCACAATTAATTTTCTGCTCTATGATGATATTCTACATGTGAAGCATTGTGCACTAGGCCTGTTTAACCTCGAGAAGGGACAATTGAGCTGGACTCTGATCAATATGTATAAATACCTGAGGGAAAAGTGTAAAGCGAATGGGGCCAAACTCTCCTCAGTGGCGCCCAGTGACAGGACGAAGAGTAATGGATATAAATTAAAACACAGGAAGTTGTTCCATCTCCATGTGAGGAAGAACTTCTTCACTGTGAGAGTGACAGAGCCCTGGAATAGGCTGCCCAGGGAGGCTGTGGAGTCTCCTCTGGAGATCTTCCAAACCCGCCTGGATGTTGCCCTGTGACCCGTGCTCTAGGTGTCCCTGCTTGAGCAGGAGGGTTAGACTAGATGATCTCTAGAGGAGGTCCCTTCCAACCTCAACCATTGTGTGACTCTGATTGTGTGCGCTAAAGCTAAATCATATTACTTTAATATTATTGCGTTTGCACTGTAACATCAAAATGAAATGTCGTTATTCTGTAGTTTCTTGTGTCTATATTTATTAAAGAACATGGTTTCCAATCTTTCCATGATTGCTTGTTACTTAAGAAGATAATTTTTCCAAATTCAGAAGGAACAGTTAGGAAGAACACAGGCTTAATAGCACTTCTTACTAATCTTTATTAATCCTTCATTTAAAGATTTCACATACTCTACTTTTTTTTCCACTAGTCTGTAACAAAGAGTTACAGATGGGCAGTGTAATTTTCCTTAAATTAAACAGACATCTGATGGCCAACAGAACCCAGAGATCCTCTTTCTCAAGCATTTTCTTGGACAAATTGTTTCCCTATTAGCTTACAGTGATATTTTTGTCACACTTGTGAGCCCATCTTCCCTGTAATATGGGAAGTTATTTGAATTTGACTACAATTAAATGTGGATTGTTTCATGGTTGTTTGTTGACAGGAATCTGATATTGATAGGATTGACCTGAGCCTGGTCTCTGAATGGTAATGTTTTCACTTAGAGAGTGGTCATAAACTTGCTAACCTGTCGTCTAGGAAGTTGAAACTTTCTTTGAGACATTTTAGAAAATTTTGAAATTAAATACAATATTCTCAAAAGCAAGTTTTTTTTTTGAAGTAAGCTTTTCCCATTAAAATTGTTCAATTTAACTTTTTTTTTCTATTAAGAAGATCAAAGTAACGTGTTTCATTTCAGCATCCAAAAACAAGTCTCATGAGAGACTGCAGTACTTTTGCCACAGCAAACAGACAAATACAGGAACATGTTGCCATCTAACATGAAAATCTTGTAAAAGGAGCTGCTTTCTAAGTGAAAACTAGATGATTCAGCATTTATATTTGTTTTGAAATGGAAGTGCATGGCATAATATTGGTATTGATAATATTGATAAAAAGGGTAGTTTTAACTAGCTGTCACTATTAGCAAATGTAAATTATGAGCGTCATTCCAAGAATTTACTCGCATCATATTAAGTGTCAAGAGGCCCACCAAGCTCTGAGGTAGGTCACCATCAGCCTTGAAGCAGGAGATGTTAGAAGGACCTTCATCTACAAGCTCAGAAGGTCTCATCTCCCTTGCACAGATGTCCAGAGAGTCCCTTGTATCCGCTGTCATGAAAAGAAAAAAAATATCTCCTGATGGGGATGTGTACAGAGAAAAGAATAAGTTATATAGTGACCAGCACTGCCATCTGGTTGGGAAAAGTGTGGTGTGAGCATGAATGGATTTTAAACTCTGTTCCAGAAAAAGCTGAAGCTACTTCTGATTCTGAAGTGTTATGAGCACAACTACTTACTTCCTCTTTTACCTGTCAAAGCTTAAGCTGCTGGTTAATACTTTCCCTTCATTTCTAAATTAAAATTAATAGTTAAAATGAAAACATTAATTCTGGCTTCTTATTTTATTCATAGATTGTGAAAAAGAGCCTGGATCCAAGTTGTGGGTATTTGTGATGATTGGAAACATAATACGAGGAATGGGTGAAACTCCCATCATGCCTTTGGGCATTTCATATTTGGAGGATTTTGCCAAANTTAGACTGAACTCTATGGAGTCCCTTAATAGAAAGTGGAAGGAGACTACAGAGAACTTTCAGAGCGTGTCCCTTGCTATAGAGATGTTCATGCTCCTTGCTGTAGGTCAGGACAGATTATCTCATGGAAGTCCCTATTGACTGTTGGTGTAAATAACTGAGGGGAAAATGTAAAGAGAAAACTCTCCTACGAGGGGCCATACTCTTCTTGGTGGCAGCCAGTGACAGGAGAAAGGGTAATGGGTACCAGCTGAAACACAGGCAGTTCCATCTCCATATGAGGAAGAACTTTTTCCTGTGAGAGTGACAGAGCCCTGGAACAGGCTACCCAGGGAGGCTATGGAGTCTCTTTCTCTGGAGATCTTCCAAACCTGCCTGGATGCCGCCCCGTGCCCTGTGCTCTGGGTGTCCCTGCTGGAGCAGAGGAATTGGACTAGATGATCCCTAGAGATCCCTTCCAGCCTCAACCATTGCGTGACTCTGATTCTGTGTGCTAAAGCTAAATTTAACTGCTTTAATATTATTGTGTTTGCACTGTGACATCAAAATGAAATGTCGTTATTCTGTAGTTTCTTGTGTCTATATTTATTAAAGAACTTGGTTTCCAAACTTTCCATGATTGCATGTTACTTAAGAAGATAATTTTTCCAAATTCAGAAGGAACAGTTAGGAAGAACACAGGCTTAATAGCACTTCTTATGAATCTTTCATTTAAAGATTTCACATACTCTACTTTTTTTTCCACTTGACTGTAACAAAGAATTACAGATGGACAGTGTAATTTTCCTTAAATTAAACAGACATCTGATGGCCAACAGAACCCAGAGATCCTCTTTCTCATGCATTTTCTTGGACAAATTAACTGTTTCCCTATTAGCTTACAGTGATATTTTTGTCACACTTGTGAGCCCGTCTTCCCTGTGATGTGGGAAGTTATTTGAATTTTCTTCTGATTCTGAAGTGTTATGAGCACAACTACTTACTTCCTCTTTTACCCGTCAAAGCTTAAGCTGCTGGTTAATACTTTCACTTCATTAGTAAATCACAATTAATAGTTAAAATGAAAACATTAATTCTGGCTTCTTATTTTATTCATAGATTGTGAAAAAGGGCCTGGATCCAAGCTGTGGGTATTTGTGATGATTGGAAACATAATACGAGGAATGGGTGAAACTCCCATCATGCCTTTGGGCATTTCATATTTGGAGGATTTTGCCAAAGCAGAGAATTCACCTTTTTACTTGGGTAAATCTATAAGTACCACGCCTTATTGCACTAACTCCTATTCCTAAAATAAAAGTGCAAATAATGAAAAGCAAAAGGAGGTTTCTCATAACTCCCATTAGTCGAATAAAGGAAATTGAGTGAAGGACTTTGCTGCCTTATCTAAATAATTGTATTGTAGAGCTTGTAGTTTAAATATTTCTTACTAATTTGTTGACTTGAGCCTGTTTTAGGCCTATCTATTTAGAAGAATTGTTCTAAATATCTGTAATAATTGCAAAAAAAAGTATGTATAGGCTTTGATTTTGTATGTTTTCACCTTTTCATATGTCAGGGTGTCTACAYACAGCAACTGTGATTGGACCATTCATTGGTTTCTTGTTGGGATCATTCTGTGCAAAACTGTTTGTGGATGTGGGATCAGTAAATGCAGGTAATGGATAAATATGTAGAAACTTCCATACACATCAGTAGACATGAGTGGCATCACACAGTTATCAGCACTAACTGTTTCTGCGCTRYTATGAGCTTTATTAGTTTTATCTGAGCTTGCTAGTGTTTCTTTTAGAATGAAAAATCAGTGTGTATTATTCAATAAAAGTCTGAAGTCCACACCTGAGTGAATAAAACTACTTATAGGTTATCTTATAAACTTATCTTATTGGAAAACAATAACAGCAAACAAAATGTGAGCTAATATGAGATGTGGGTTTTTTTTTTTTTTCTCTTCCTTTTTAGAGGACATAGCTATAACAGTTACTGATGCCCGTTGGGTTGGTGCGTGGTGGCTGGGCATTTTGATTTGCGCCTCACTGAATCTCCTCGCAGGAATACCTTTTTGGTTTTTGCCCAAGACCCTTGTGAAGGAAGGAGAAACCAAAGAATCKGAAGAGCTCAGYAAAAAAAGTGTAGTACTATTGCAAGAAAATGATAAAAATGAAGCCAAGCAGAACATGTATGAGATTGCTAAAGGCAAGTTGTGTTGTTATCTTAGTTTTGTCTTTACCWTGTCTGTTTATTTTTGTGTGTAAATATGGGTCAAAGGTATGAAATGCATACATCTGTTATTCAGCTCTCTCTAGTACAAAGGATTTTTACAGGGATTTAGAATGCCTTTTACAGAAGTAGAAAAATAATAGCATGCATTCAAGTCCTAAATTTACTCCTTTTCCACCCCTCCTGAATTTCATGTATGTGTAGATGTGAAGCTTTTCTTCCTTTTCTTTTGTTTTGTTTACTTCCCAGGGGTTTAATGCATTAAAATCTCATTAAGAATGTTACACTTCAGTGAGCTGTGAACAAATGGAAAATACTAGTTACACGTGTCCCTAAATCCACTGTGCCAAAAACTTGCACAAGTCTTATGTACTTCTGGAGGCCAGCTTAAGGACACAAGAGGGAAATGACAGATGCTTAAGCGTCTCACCAACACGTAATGGCTCGTTGAAGAAGGATCTTTTTGGCTTATAACAGTTCAAGCTACCAATGGAAACATTCACATCTGTGTGTTTTCAGCCCTATATATCTGCAGACAGCTATTTTTTCCCCTCTAATTWTTGCACTAGTTAAAAACATAAATGAATATAATATGTCAAAAGCTATGAGCTTCAGAGTAGCCTCACGATTCTGGACACCCAGCTCCAAGTATGAGCTACCTCTCTATGTACCTCTCTATAAACCTCTCTATATTCACCATATTTTGAGTAAATGCTCACCTTTTGGTTTGTATTTCAACTTCATTTGATAAAAATAACTTCTTTCTCTGCTGTCATGTAGCCCCAAATGAAGCTATGAAGAATGTATGGCTACGAGGATGATCAGGGGCCGGGAACATCTGCCCTATGAGCAAAGGCTGAGAAAGCTGGGCCTGTTCAGCCTGGAGAAGAAAAAGCTGAGGGGGGACCTGATCAGTCTGTATAAATATCTCAAGGGAGGCAGTGAGGAGGAGCGGGCCGGCCTCTTCTCAGTGGTGAACAGTGATAGGACTAGAGGAAACAGCCACAAACTGACGCACCAGAAGTTCCACAGGAACTTAGGGAAAAATTTCTTGACAGTGAGGGTGCCAGAGCCCTGGAACAGGCTGCCCAGAGAGGTTGTGGAGTCTTCTTCTTCGGAGATCTTCAAAACCCGCTTGGATGCCGTCCTGTGCCTCGTGCTCTAGGTGACCCTGCATGTACAGGGGTGTTGGACTAGATGATCTCTAGAGGTCCCTTCCAATCTGAAGAATTTTATGATTCTATGATTCTATACTCATTCAGGGAGGCAAGGTTCCTARCTTAGACTGTTGCTCACCCTTTCTTCTGTATTAATATGAATGTCCACAGCCCTTGAATCTCCTCAATTAGAAAGTATAGCCATGTGAAATTCAAAATTGAAGTATGATAGTTCAAGTTAACATGGCAATGTCTTCTGCACAAAACTGTGATTCTAAACTGTACAGCACATATAAAGAAGACAGCCTACTCAGTGTGTTTAAATATTTGAGTCATTTTTGCAATACTGATATAATGATCCTGTTTTCCTGAGATATTTAGAAGCTACGTATCACTGCTCACTGGTGCCATTTTCAAAGAATCATGGTCATTGTTCTACAGAAGTTTATGTTTTTGCTGCAGGATTTCTTGACAATAGCTTAGCACAGTAATTGATAAAGCCCATGAGACAAAGAGGGKTTTTTTTTATGGTTCAAGTCCTGATTTAATGGGCATTACTCAGCGGAAAGACATGTGTAAATTATTTTCTCAGAGGTTTACCTTGCTGAGGACTGARGGATCCAGAGTTTGAGATGTGATGAGAATAACCAGGGTCACTTTAGGCCTCTTCTCCCCTGTCTTTCTCTTTCCCATCACAAAGAGTAGTGCTACCCAAAGTTAGTGATCAGGTCCCTRTGACAGGTAGTGCCMGCTATCTAGTCTGTATCTGTCTGTAGTGTGTGTTCTTTCCCCTTTGCAATCTTTTGCTTCCAACGTGCCAGAAGGGGGTTCTGATAGATGCTCTGCAGGGATGGGATGAAGGGAAAAGAATTGAGAATCGGTGAGCAGTAGGTGCTGCTGCAAATCTGTAGTCACAAGATTCATTCGTGGTCTAACTCATGAGCTTCAGGAAAACTTTATGATGAGATTTTTGATGAGCATCAGTMACTGCTCTGTGTGATTGTGTGTGTTTGCCTCCAGTCACGGAAGAGAAACAGGGGAAGTCTTCACTAAGTGAACAGCCTTTGGCCTGTGGTGTCTGTCCAAGTACAAGAATTAACCTGATAGAGTTAAAAACCATCTCTGCTCCAAGTACAAGAATTAACCTGATAGAGTTAAAAACCATCTCTGCTCCGTTCTTTCCTCCTCAGCCATACTGAGCAATGGATGATTCATTTCAGAAAGCATCACACTAACTTGTTGCATTCTTTCATTCCAGATTTCATACCGTACCTCAAGGCTCTGTTTCACAATAGAGTATATATGTTATTTATATGCATAACCGTGTTACAGTTCAGCGCATACAATGGCATGATATCCTTCATGCCAAAATATTTGGAACAGCAGTTTGGAAAATCTGCATCGGATGCCATCTTTTTAATTGGTACATTCACATTTTCCCTTTTTTTCTGATCTACCACCTAGATGAAAATTCTCTTTCTCTATACATGCACTATGCATGTATGCATGTGCATATGTATATATACATGTATATACATGCTAGAGTCAATTGCTTCTACAYGGGAGARMTTTCTYATTACAAAGCATTCTAAATAATCATTTTGCATTTTCTACCAGCTGTCTCCAGATTTTCTATGCAGTATTTTGCGGTAGTCCATTTCCCAYCTTTTAGGGTGTCCCGGAAGAATTCACTTGATATGTTATATCATCTGATAAAATTTGTACCAGTTGCACAAGTAATGTCAAAGAGATTATGCTAATGGCAAGTAGTTTCAGTATCCTGAAACAGTAGGTTCAACCTAATATCCTTTGTCATCAGTGTTTTGAAGCTCTGCATACAAAGTTTTATAGCTAGCGTACATCTCTGTATGTAGAGAGTGCCATTGCACCACTGCAGGGTTCTTTTTCAGTCTGATCATCTTGAGTATTCAAAGTACCTATGGCAGTTGGACTGAAAAAGGGTACTTATAGAGTACTCTGAGAGAAGAGCAGGTCTCATTTAATGTCTCCTCTCTTTTTCTCATGCTATTGGCGCTCATATGCTGTCAAGAATTTCTAAAGAATCAACATAATCTTGAGCAAAGGCAACCAAGACATGTGATGTTTGTGTAAAACTAGTTCCTACATACCTCTCAATCCACCTTTGCTTTGTTAAAATGTCAAACTCTGAAAGAGTGAAGTATGTAAGTGTGTATGGACATTAATTGCATTCTGAATCAGCATGTTCTTTCTTTCTGTGATGCTCTGTGTAGGCAAGGACGCGCTCCATGATGTGATCCTAATTCTGAGTTGCTTTCTCAAAAAATCGCAGTCTATAACCGTAGTCTGATTTCAACACAAAATAAGACAGGATTTCAACACAGTCCCCCCATCCAAGTGAATTATTTGAGTCCTAGCCATTGGTTCTCTCAGAAGTTCACAACTTTGACTGTCTTATTGGCATGCAAGAGAACGTCAGATAGATTAAGTGGCTAGCAGCACTATGTGAATCTTTGCCAAATTATATGCACATTCTTCCTTTATAGCTATCTTGGACGGTCTCTTATTGATTTTAAGAGATATTATTCTTTTAAACAGGTGTTTACAACTTACCAGTTATATGCATTGGATATTTTTTTGGAGGCTTGTTCATGAAGAAGTTCAAAACAAATACCTCTCAGGCTGCAACCATAGCGTTTTGGATATCTTTATTGGAATACCTTCTCTACTTTAGTGCCTATTGGACTATCTGTGATGCTTCTCCAGTCGCTGGCTTAACAGTTTCATATGAAGGGTATGTTATGTAAGGCACAACACTGGAATGAAGTGTTCATTGTCAAAGTCAACGGTGACTTCACAGTTTTGCAAAACACCACTAGGTACTTTTCACCTCAAGGATCTAACTTTTCCAGTCTTTAGAACTATGTGAGACACTAGGTATATAGCTCTAACTGGTTATTCCTGTTTTAAATGATACATGAAAAGAATGCTCTTGGGTTCGTATACCTAGTTATGAGTATATCCTATAGCATAATAATGTATGAAAAGATAGACAGGCATGACTGCTGGAAGGGGAAATCCTGCTTGACTAACCTCATCACCTTCTTTGATGGAGTGACTGGCTGGATAGATGAGGGCAGAGCGGTGGATGTCATCTATCTGGACTTGAGCAAGGCTTTTGACACTGTCCCTCACAGCATCCTCGTGGGCAAGCTCCAAAGGTGTGGGATAGATGAGTGGATGGGGAGGTGGATTAGGAATTGGCTCGATGGAAGGGCTCAGAGAGAGGTAGTGAGTGGCGCAGAGTCTAGTTGGAGACCTGTAGTTAGCGGTGTCCCCCAGGGGTCGGTCCTTGGTCCACTCCTGTTCAACTTATTCATTAATGACCTGGATGAAGGGCTGGAGTGCTCCCTCAACAAGTTTGCTGATGATACGAAACTGGGAGGAGTAGCTGATAGCCCTGAGGGCTGTGCTGCCATCCAGAGGGACCTGGACAGACTGGATGACTGGGTGCTTAGAAATCTCATGAAGTTCAACAAGGGCAAGTGCAGGGTCCTGCACTTGGGTAGGAATAACCCCGGACACCAGTACAGATTAGGGGTTGACCTGCTGGAGAGCAGCCCCGCAGAGAGGGACCTGGGCGTCATGGTGGATGACAAGATGACTATGAGGCAGCAGTGTGCCCTGGTGGTCAAGAAGGCCAACGGGCTCCTGGGGTGCATTAAGAAGGTCTCTCTCCGGCAGGTCGAGGGAGGTGATCATCCCCCTCTACTCAGCCCTGGTGAGGCCACATCTGGAGTACTGTGTCCAGTTTTTGGGCTCTCAGGACAAGAGGGATGTGGAGCTGCTGGAGAGAGTCCAGCGCAGGGCTACAAGGATGTTCAAGGGCCTGGAACATCTGCCCTATGAGCAAAGGCTGAGGGAGCTGGGCCTGTTCAGCCTGGAGAAGAGAAGGCTGAGGGGGGACCTGATCAGTGTCTATAAATACCTCAAGGGAGGCAGTGAGGAGGACGGGGCGGCCTCTTTTCAGTGGTGGCCAGTGACAGGACTAGAGGAAACGGCCACAAGCTGACGCACCAAAAGTTCCACAGGAACTTAGGGAAAAATTTCTTGACAGTGAGGGTGCCAGAGCCCTGGAACAGGCTGTCCAGAGAGGTTGTGGAGTCTCTTTCTTTGAAGATCTTTAAAACCCGCTTGGATGCCGTCCTGTGCCTCGTGCTCTAGGTGTCCCTGCGTGAGCAGGGGGGTTGGACTAGGGTTGTATATCTAGTTAAGAGTACGTCCTATAGCATAATAATGTATGAAAAGATAAACAGGCATCACTGCTGGAAAGGGAGCATGTTTGGCTGTGTCTTGGATCAGCACTTGAGCTGGAATAGAAACTTAAGCATTTCAAAGGTTTATACTAGGGATTTCATTACTAAACTATTTATTCAACTTCTAAATGTATTTCAGGAGAGAGCATGTTTCATATACAGAAAATACTCTCCTTGCTGGCTGCAACAATGATTGTAATTGCACACTGAAAATATGGGACCCTGTCTGTGGGGATAATGGAGTCACTTATGTGTCGCCTTGTCTTGCTGGGTGCAAAGCCTCAACAGGGACTGGAAAACATATGGTAAAGCACACATTATTATTTTTTTTTTTTGTGCTGTAGCTATGAAATACAGTACTTAAGGAATAGGAGAAGAAATATCCATACCTCTACATTTAATTGGACTTATAGGAGACAGACTTATAGGACAAATCTGTGGAGTGGCAACAGAAATTCCAAGCTGAATAAAAAAATTAGTTTAAAATAATATAAAGAATAATAGGAGTCAAAATATTTAAAACACTGTGAGAAGCTGTTCACAAGGTATTGTCAGCGTATCTGAATCCTGAGCACTCCATTAGTCAGAATGAGATTTTATAGAGTGAATATAAAAATCTCTTTCACTTTGTAGATTTAAATACATATTTGAGTACTGCAGAGTCTATGCTATCCTAAGTTCCTTTGTAAGCATACAGTTTTTCATAATTAATTTATTTATAAGTTCTAATTAGATGGAACACTGTTGAAAATAAAAACTTAAACAAGAAAACAAGCCATACAGATTTTAGGAATCCTTCATACTATTCAAATATTTCAGAGAATACTTAGTAAGAGCCAACTGCTGATGCCCTTTCTTACTGTGGGTGACATTTGTCAGCCCTTCTTCTCTGAAGATGATCGTTGATTTGGTAGAAGCAAGCATGTGAGTGAGGATATTATGACCTGGTCTTAAATCAGTTATCTCTGGTTTCTACAGAGGTAGTTTTGATAATGACCTGCTTGAGGTAGTGTGTTCCCAGCTACATAATAGTACCCTGACTCCCTCCTGCTCTGACCTTGGACATCATCTATACCTGACTGATGGACCTATGCCTAGCAGATGGGGAGAGAGGCCACAGTGCAGGGCTACACGTGTGACATAGACTCAGGAGAATGAGCAGGGCACCAATTGTGTGAGTTTCACACTCAGTGTGTGCATTTTAACAGGTCGATGTGATTAAAATGCTCTTTTGACAGGTATTTGAAAACTGCACCTGCATTGCAGCCTCAGGATTTTCATCTCAAAATGTCTCTGCAATTCTGGGCCAGTGTGACAAAGAAGAAAACTGTGACAAGATGCTTCATTATTTTTTAATATTGTCATTAGTCTGCAGCTTCATTTTTTCCTTATCAGCCATGCCTGGGTATATGGTCTTAATAAGGTACAGTGAAGTGTTCTTATCTTAAGAATCCTCCTGGGCTTTTTATTCTGAGGTCAAACACTTCCAAGAGTTAGGCACTTGTTACTTTGCATGGATGGAGGAAGACTAGAAAGATCTTATGCCACTTCTGTGCTGACTGTTAGGGTTTAGTGTTGTGCTAAATGTTGATAGCTTTATAAACTGATGTTACTTCTGTCTGTCATCTGTATCCTGAATTAATGAAAGATCGCTGAGTCAATGCATCAAGATAATAGTGAAAGGTGCATAACATCCATCTGCTTATTGATCACATCACCACGATGATGATTAAGCCACCACTGTCTTCTTGCCTTGGCCTTGATGCAGGGACAATAAGAATAGCCTTTCCTTTGGTGATCTGACAGGCCTGCTTAGGGAAATTCAGTCAAAGTCATGTAATGAAAAATTATGAACTTCTTCAGCCACTGCTCTAGTCAGAATTATTTGAGCATAATGTGATGAAGAATTTGACTGAAACAAAACAAAAGAGATTACTATTTCTTATTTATGTCACCTTTGTTAATCTGCGTATGATGTAATTGTCATCTAGGTCTCTAAAGCCTGAAGAAAAATCATTAGGAGTGGGTATCCATGGACTGGCTTCAAGAGTATTTGGTAAGAAAAGCTCTAATGCACTTTGGAAGCATCTCTAGAACTTACCTGGAATTAGGTATAGTTCAGAGCTGGGGTATAGGCATGGTATGGCTGTCCATCTCTATGGAAGCTTTGTGTAGGGAATATTTTTTTCAATAAATCTAGACAGGGTAACAAATTAAAACAGCTTTCCTTTTGTGTGCATTTATATTGGTGACTCATCAAGCCATCTTGTATTCCTTCCCTTCTCTCAAGTGTTCACTGAACACAACACGTTCTCATTGGTAAGAGTAAAGGTTGAGTTTTGAGTAGGAATCACAATATATGTCTTTTATATTGTAATATGTATTTATTGTTAAATACGCAATTTTTTGTTGAGAGTAGGTGGATAAGAGAGAAGAGGAAACATATGAAAAGTAGAGAGTATGCTTCATGCTGAAAGAGATCAGGACTGATGAAGTTGATGAGAAATAACACAAATTCTGTAGTGTACCTGTTGATCAGAAAAAATAGGAAATTCATAAATCATTTCTACTGTCAATTTTTAGCTGGAATTCCATCTCCCATTTATTTTGGAGCATTGATAGACACCACTTGTTTGAAGTGGGGTACGAAGAGCTGTGGAGGAGAAGGAGCATGCAGGATGTATGACATTGTCACTTACAGGTATATTTTTTATTTTATGCATTTCTCCTTCTTATTGTGTTATAAAATGTGTAGAGATATAGATGTATGTTCTTCATCATTATATAATACACAAACTTAATCTAGCACACAAATTGCTCCTGAGTTAGAGATTTAACACAACCCTTCTCTTTGATATTGGCTTGAATTGTCAAGTGCTACCTTCGCCACAGATACAAATTCTTTAAACAAAAAGTTCCGATGACCATATTTACATGCGTTGAATATCTGCCATGAAAACAGACATTAGCACACTACAGCTTTGATAATAAAAATGAAAAGTAGGAAGTCCTTGTGGAAAAAAAAAAAAAGATTAATCCAGGTGAAAATCCAAGAGGTTCAGGGCACAACTTTTACAGCAGTTTGGCTCTTATCACAAAAAAGATACATGATACTTTTGCCATTGTTTCATTAATCCATCTATTTAATGAAGCTCATCTTTTATTCCAGATGGCTCTACCTGGGTCTGCCAGCATTATTACGTGGAGTGTCCTATATCCCAAGTGTATTCATTCTCCTTATTTTAAAGAAGAAACTTAAATCCTCTGAAAGCAAAGTCTTAATAAATCCACCAGTGGAAATGCAGACTAAAGAAGAAGAAAACGAATCACTAAAATAGCACTTCAAGCAGGACATATCATGGAAAAAAAAAAATTACAGTGTAAATCTTGGACCTATCTTTGTGACAAATTTGTTATTTGTACTAGCGAACTCCTGGACAGACATTAACAGAATTACATCCAGTTATATCCTAATTCTATCCTGAGAAAAATATTAGTTCATGAACGGAGGTTCCATAAAAAGATGTGTTTTGTGCAAAAGAGCCAGGAGTAGAAAGAAGTATGAAAACTTAAAAAATGCCAGGGTTGAGACATTTGAGTAAAGGGCAGTGAGGCAAAAACGTGTATTTTGAATCCTGGTTTCCCGGAGTTAGAGTTTTGCACCAGACTCTAGAGAAGCGTAATTTCATCCTGTAACTCCCTAGCAGGTTCTGCCACAGCCTCTCTCATTGACTATAGACACCTCACAAAGCTTCTCTGGGCTTCAGGATACCATTAAATGATTTAATTATATTTTCCTTCCATAGAGCAGAAAATTCAGCTCCAAAATTTAAAGCTTTCACTTTGCAGGTAATTCTTTTGAAAATACAGGTCACAGCTCCTTTTTCCATTTCCATCAGCTGACAGAGTGAAACAGCTAATGAGGAGAGCAGAAGGGAAAGGGGAAGGGGAAGGGAAAGGGGAAGGGGAAGGGGAAGGGGGAAAGGGGCAATCTCAACACAGCCTGTAACACAGCAACAAGTACAGTTCTCTATTGTGCCTCAGGTATTCTAGAGGTATTGGGAGTATTTGAGGCACAGCTGATGCACATTACTGTTCTTGCTGCCCTAGGGCACTTAGTGAAACCTGTCATTCTTCCTTGTGGTGGTTATCATTCCTCTAAAGCTAGAGTTAAAAATCTCTTGCAGGCATTTAGTCAGAGTTTGGTGCCAAGGTAACCTGGGAAATGTGAAAAGCTAAAGCCTGCCAAAGTCTTACAGCTGTGGCAAACACAAAGGATTTGTTAAGTAAATCTGTGTCATATTAATGGACCTCTGCCAAAAGATTCAGGCCCTGTTAACTCACTGTGTTTTGAAATGAAAGGAAACAGGACAATCCCCAAGGTGGACATTTAGGCTTTTGGTGCTGACATTCATTTACTTTTAAGTAGTTTCATCTGCTTGAGAAAGTGTGGCAGAGTAGCCACATCCTCACCAGACAGTGTGAAATCATTACCCTGCTCCTCAATCTGCTCATCCACTTAGAATGTGCTGGGTGGAGACAGTAGATGGTGGCATGGTAGAAAGTTCCTTGGTAGAAGTCTAAGGCAGGAACGTTACTTCTCCAGAGCAAAACCAGGAAATGGAGAGTACGGGTAATTCCAAAATGATATTTATAAAATCTTCATAGTATGCCATGTCTGGTGCAGCAAATATTTATGGAAGTAGGTTGGGAGATTAAAAAAAAATATTGGAATTATTCCTCCATATGCAAAACCAAACTTTAGAATTGATCCTTCCAAATTCTGAGAATGCTGACTTCAGTTCAGCAATGTAAGCTTGTGCCTGACTTTTAAATGTGGTCACATTGATGTTTATTCTGTAAGCAGGAAAGCTGTGCTCATGCAATCAGGCATCTTAAGACTGATCACAAAATTGCTGTAGTTGTGAACAGAGGCTGCTGCTGTAGGTTGCAGTAAGTACTAAAATCATATGCACTGTGCTTGAACATTTGGGCTGATCTTGGTCTGCTCTTTCAGGCACTGAGATTTTCATTGGCACTATGGATAGCACAAGCCAAAAGTGGTGGAAGTAACAAGAGTTAACAGAGTTAATGTGAGCTTTTGTATAAAGTAGTTGCATATGAAGACTTTAGTTGAATAAAACCTGTATCAAATTGATAAAAGGATGCGGTAAGTTTCTTTTCTGAACAATCAGGAGCTGAGCAGATGGCTTTCACCACACAGTCAACCACATTTACTTCTCACTGGCTCAGTAGATGATGCTTATGGGTTGAGTTTTGATTTTTAAGCCCTGCCAAGTGGAGGGTTGAGTGCTCATGCTGGATACAGAAGCTGACAGACACTGAGAAATCAACACTTGATGTTCTGTCAGTGTGACCAATACTATCATCTTAGAAATATTTCTAAAGTCAGCAGTATTCAAAAGTGTATGCATATCATGTATTCATCTAGTGTTTTATATTCAGTGCCTTATGTAATGTTACCTGATTCCTGATTGATTTTTTTTTTTTTTGGTCCTAGTCCAGCACTGAGCTGACATTTTCAAGCTAGTGCTCTCAAAATAACACTTCATTTAAAGTTAACACTTTTGGTAACACTAAATACATCCCTGTTTAAAGGACATCTTTATGCATATGTAGGATATGATAGTATATTCATATTTTCATTGTTTTTATCATATTTTAATTTTACCATCTATTTCATAGTCCCTCAGTATTTTAGAAGCTCCAGTATGACCTGGAGTTTGCTCAGGAAAACAAATCCTGACTTCCCAAGGCAGCTGAGTTGGCAGGCATCTCTCCATGATGACAGAGTATTGCTTGTGGTCACGAGAAAGAGAGGGAAGGGAAACAAGCTGAGGCTGACACCACCAGCATCTCCATGGTGGTGGGGACACAACATCTGGTGCATCTGGTTTCAATATAGCAACTGCACTGCAAGTTGCATCTGCCAACCCCCAGGCTGTCCAAGGGGATTTAAACTACCATGGGTTGGCAATGCGTTCACACTGGACAATCTAGGCAGTGATTCTAGCAATGAACAGATGGGAGCAATTTAGTGACCTAGGCCTCTAATTCCTGTCCAATTGTGTTGGTTTAGCTCTTCTGGGTCTATAAATTGAATGCAGTAAGTAAATTGCATTCTCTGCTGCCAATATTTCTTGGCACATATTTGCTAATATTTGTCAAGTCTGATGATAGAATCTAAATGGCATGGAGATTCTCTGGAGATTATTTTATACTCATTTTACTGTCTTGGAAATTTTCCCAGTATGTCACAGACATTCTGTTCTGCTGATATGTTTTTTTTTTAAACATGGACTTACGCATGTCATTTAATATGTTTTTTTTTCCTTCTGTGTTCAGTCTTCAGATATTTACTTCTGTCGATCTCTCTGAAGTAAGCCTGCATTGTCCATATATATAGTAAACACTTTAAAATTTGTTGTGAGAATTCATGAAATATTTGTAATGCTCTTCTAATGGGCATGTTTGTCACAGCTGCATTGAAAACTGTTTCTTGGCTAAAACACTAGTTTATTCTTTGCCTTGAAATAGTTCTTTAAATGGTGCATATTCTAGAAAAATTTCAAAAAAAAAAAAAAATCAAAATGTAGCAAGACCTTGGATATAATCCCAGAATGTTCAAGGTTGGAAAGGACCTCTAGAGATCATCTAGTCCAACCTTCCTGCTCAAGCAGAGACACCTAGAGCATGTGGCACAGGGTGGCATCCAGGCGAGTTTGGAAGACCTCCAGAGAAGGAGACTCTACAACCTCCCTGGGCAGCCTGTTCCAGGGCTCTGACACCCTCACAGGAAAGAAGTTCTTTCTCACATGGAGATGGAACTTCCTGTGTTTCAACTTATACCCACTGCCTCTTGTCCTGTCACTGGCCACCAATGAGAAGAGCTTGGCCCCCTCCTCCCTACATTCTCCCTTCATGAACTTATACATGTTAATCAGATCTCCTCTCAGCCTTCTCTTCTCCAAGCTGAATAGACCCAACTCACTCAGTCTCTTCTCATACAAGAGATGCTTCATTCCCTTAATGATCTTTGTTGCCCTCCACTGGATCCTCTCTAGAAGCTCCATGTCCCTTTTATACTGGGGAGCCCAGAACTGCACCCAATACTCCAGGTGCGGCCTCACCAGAGCTGAGGAGAGGGGCAGGATCTCCTTCCTCCACCTGCTGGCAACACTCCTCCTGATGCAGACCAGGATCCCATTGGCCTTCTTGGCCATGAGGGCACTGCTGACTCAGGGTTAACTTGGCGTCAACCAGGACTCCCAGGTCCTTCTCCGTGGAGCTGCTCTCCAGGAGGTCGACCCCTAATCTGTACTGATGCCTGGGGTTATTCCTCCCCAAGTGTAGGACCCTGCGCCTGTCCTTATTGAACCTCATGAGGTTCCTCTCTGCCCAACTGTCAAGCCTGTCCAGGTCCCTGTGGATGGCAGCACAGCCCTAGGACGGCCACACCACCCAGCTTGGCATCATCTGCAAACTTGCTCAGGGTGCACTCCGTGCCCTCGTCCAGGTCATTGATGAACAAATTGAACAGCACCGGGTCCAGTACTGACCCCTGGGGGATACCACTGGCCACAGGCCTCCAACTGGACTTGGCCCCATTTATCTCCACCCTCTGAGCTCTCCCATCCAGTCAGTTCTCAATCCACCTCACCATGCATGCAGACCACTCTCCTGGAGCTTCAGTATGAAGATATTATAGGAGACGGTGTCAAAAGCCTTGCTGAAGTCAAGGTAGACAACATCCATGGCTCTCCCCTCGTCTGGCTGGCTACTCATCCCATCATAGAAGGCTATGAGGTTCGTCAGACATGACTTCCCCTTGGTGAATCCATGCTGACTACTCCTCAACACCTTCTTCTCCTTCATACGCCTGGAGATGCTCTCTAGGATGAGCTGCTTCATCACCTTTCCATGGACGGAGGTGAGGCTGGTCGACCTGTAGTTACCCGGCTCCTCCCTCTTGCCCTTTTTGAAGACTGCAGTGACATTGGCTCTCTTCCAGTCCTCCGGCACCTCCCCTGCTCTCCAGGACCTCTCAAAGATGATGGAGAGAGGCTGAGCAGTAACCTCGGCCAATTCCCTCAGCACTGTTGGGTGCATCCCATCTGGGCCCATAGATTTTTAAGTGGCCAGTTTGCCTAAGTGATCCCTAACCCAATCCTTCTTGACCAGCGGAAGGTCTTCCTCTTGCCCCTTTATATCTCTTCCACTTGAGCCCTGCAGTTCATGGGGGGTTGCCTTAGCAGTAAAGACAGAGGCAAAGAAGGCATTTAGTAACTCTGCCTTCTCAGCCTTCTCCGTCACCAAGGTCCCCTCCCCATTCAGCAGTGCACTAACATTTTTCCTCATCTTCGTCTTACTGCAGGATGGAGGTGGGTTTTGGCATAATGAGCTTATAATGAACAAAGTTCATGTGGAAGGAGTTATTTGCCATCTTTGCTGGTTCAGCACTGGACATCTTATCATATATCTCCCATTGGTCAGTTGCTGTGCAGCTTATCAGCAGCTGAACACAGGGAGTACAACAGTGTTTGGTTGTGTTGTCTTCACTTCATCCTCCATTACTCCTCTTTGCAGCTGCTAGGGGAGCAGGCTGTGCTGCCTAGGGATTCTTGGAGAAGGAGAGTCTGTGTGTACCAGCTATCCTGGAAGCGGCAACTGTGTCTCACCCCAAACAAGCTTCTGTAATGCCCAGACTTCTGTTAGGCCCTAGTTTTTCTTTAAGTTTCCCCTTTTCAAGCAATTCTTCCACAGTGTCCATT